GAGGCGAGAACTGCTAGTATTTGTGTTTCAGTTCAGTGCCACTGCTAGCATGTTTACTTGTACCCATATCACTGCCAGCACTGCTACGTCTGTATCTAGTATTGACAGTACTACTATTAGTGTCAGTACTTCTAATACTAGTGCTGCTACTGCTACTCCTAATGCTACTGCTGCTGCTTCTACTACTACTGCTACTACTACTACTGCTACTACTGCTACCTTACTGCTGTGATAGGTAGTATGAGCATTATCCATGCTGGGATTTTTGCTGATGTGGTTTAGCTGTAGCAACAGAGGCAAGTGGCATGGCCCTGAACATGCTCGTGGTCTCCTCATTGACGCCTGGTCTACTTGGAGGGTCGGGGGACTTGGTAAGTAGGTAACAAGTAGAGCTATAATAAAAAGGATCCAAGTTGGGGGTTATGGTACTTCCGTAAACCCTCCAAGCAGTGTTTCGGGGTTTGGGGTTTACGGTTTAGGGGTCAGGATGGGGGATATCTCCCGAAGTGGTCCTCCCCACACATTAGACCCAAGTCCTCATTTAATTGGTTGGTCCTCTACAATAATGCTGTTCTGAGGGTTTTCAATGTGCAAAGCCCAGAACGCTAAACCATGGGGAGATGCAATCGCTCCAATTGCGGAGCCGTCGATCTGTATGGCCACACACACCACAAACGGTTTAAGGTTTCGGGTTCGGGTTTTGGGCTAGAGTTTTAGGGGTTAGGGTTTAGAGTTTAGGACGTTAGGGAGGATCCTCTGAGATGAAACGGCAACACACCTACCACGCGCAATTCTTGCATGCATGAATGAGGTTTCACATGTTGGCACAAAACATAATTTTTTGACCCCAAACTCAGGACAATGCCACGTAACACCTTGTCCAAATCCCCGGTGCGACATACGTAGAAACCAGTCGAGAGGCTGCAGTTTGATTTCTTTATGCAGATTACGAACTGTCGTTGTCATGAGTGCATGAACCCAGTCAATAGCCTTTTAACTCCAAAGGATTGGCATTGTCGTGGGTGACCTTACCTGGTTGATGGCTCTGCAGCGCAGCTTGGTCTGGTCTCAGGAGGTTGTCTACGGTTTGATTCGATTCGATTTCCCTACAACTGTTACACGTTTTCACGAGAGCAACCCCAAGAAGAGATGTAGGCCTACACATGTAGAAAGCTAGTCTGTTTGTTGACTTGGCCGTAGATCCAGATGTAGCAAAAGAAGAGACAACATCGTAAAGCCTAAACAACAACCCGCACTGATACCAGGGACAATTAGCACGCAGGCATCGGCGCACGACGGGTCATTGTAGTGGATTGCTTGGCGCCTTTCATTGGTGCAACTTGCGCTTGATTCGTGTAGCGCTTTACTTTTTTCGTTGTGATGTTGATATGGGCTGCGTACCTGCAGGGTGATTTGCATAGATGTTACATAGGGTTTAAATTGGTGTTTCGCCAAACAATCTGTGTGCAATTCGAATTGTGCACAGCCGTTGTAAGCCCATCTGGCTGTAGCGTTATAAAGTTACACTCATATTGATAAAGCTCGAGAGGCTATGCTGGGACGTATCTTTTTGGACGAGCGTGTCTTGACACATTGTTCATTCGAGTTGTCGTTTTGGGTTACGGTTGACGTTAGTAGTATGCTCATTTTCCACTTCTTATTACCACTAGCGGTCATGCTATTCATAGAAGTCGACACAGTTCTGTTGAAGCAACGAGCAACACAAGGTATAGCGAGCCTCGGATACGCGGGCATGCTTACCACAGTAGTGGGAGTGTTCCTGTGTGCATTGGAGAGAGAATCAGACAATGAAGATCGTTCAGACAAAATACCGGAGGGGGACGTGCTCTTCTTTGGCTACGCTCTTGCATTTGTGAATGTGTTCTTTGACGCTATGGGAGCCTTTCTCACGAAGAGGTGGGGTGGCCCCCCCCTGGATGCCTTGGACATCACCGTCATTCGCTTCGGTGCAGCCTCAGTCATGCTGCTAGCAGTGTACTTGGTCATGAAGTTGTTTGGCATGGTATCACAGAAAGAGACATTGGAGGATGCTGTCCTCCCATACGATGAAACGAAGCCACTCCTGGAATCTGGCAAGAGAGAGGGCCTGGTACCAGCATCTCTAATCGCTATGACGCGGCGCGAGTGGTTGCTGGTGACCATGGGGGTGCTCCTGGTGACGTGTTGCAATCCTGTCCTGTACAACTACGCACTGTTTCAGATTCCTCTGGCATTCGCCATCACCCTCGCGAGTTTCGGACCCATCTATGCAATTCCTCTAGTCTACCTGATGAATCCAGGCTGTGCTGGGAACTCTTTTCACTTTGCTGTTTATCTCTCAAAAGCAGCCGGCTAAGACTCGGTTTGTCTAGCGGAGTTCCCAGAGCGATTTATGCATCTGTAAACCCGAAACTGCCCTAAACCCTAAAGCCGCGGCCTTCGTCTAGGCCCCATACGCCGAAACCCCTAAACCCCAGCCCCTAAACCCCGAAACCGTGAAGGAAAGGAGAGGCAGTCACGGCACGGTCGGCAGTTGGGGCTCTCCTCGCCGTTGCTGGCGTGGTGATGTTGGCCCAGTCGTGAAACACGAAGCCTAAGCTGCTTTGGGTTTGGGGTTTAGGGTAAGCAGGGTGGTCAGAAGTGGCAGTGACAATGAAGTCAATAGCAATCGTCTCCATCATCGTTACCACGCTCATGTCGGCATCGAAACAAGATCAGTAACGGTAATGAGAATGTTGGTAGTCGTCGTCGATGTCGATGTAGTTGCCGTAGCCATCACCGTACATGGCAGCGCTTCGCGTTCATGTTGACACTGCAAATGTTGGCTCGGGCATGGCCACTTGAGTCGGTGATGACTCATACTCTTATGCCTGGGTAGCTTGCCAAGTGGATTGGCGGTCCGGAGAGATGAAAAGTATACACACAGCAGGCGCGTATCGGGCGCTATTGACGGCAACGGGAGCTGCTTCTTATAAACGAAAGTGTTCCTAACCCCTACATCCTAAACCCTACACCCTAAACCCTAAACCCAAAGTCCCACATGGAAGCATTCCTAAATCGTCCTATAAAGCCCAAGGCAGCCCAAACCCTAAAGTCTACATGGGAGAGTTTCACCATGTTACCAAAGAGCAGAATCCTGCTCGGGGTTTAGGGTTCGTGACTTTCAGGTGGCCGTCTAGTGATTTTTAAAGTATAGTTGTTATCATTTAGGCCCCCATATCAAGAGCTTAGCAGTCACCGCTCCACTGGAGCCTGCTGTCATGGATGGCGGCCAGGAAGTCAAGGTATGTCAATGAAGATGGCAGCTCCGAATGTAGGGTTTAGGGGGTTCAGGGTTTGGGGTCTCCCGGTAGAGCTCCAGACCGTGTTCCTAACTATGTCCAGCCGGAAGAAGGTTTTGGGCATCCTCGAAAGGCTAAACCTCATCCCCTAACCCCTTTAAACTCTAGCTTGCTTTAAGGCTCCTGAGAACCTGGTAGGGGCACTTTAGGCCCTTGGTTTATCTACTCATGTCTCCAAAATCCGTAATGGTAGGACCCGGGGACTGTCGAGTGTAGCCACTGCCGAGATGCAGGAAGTACTCACACAAGGCACCTCCAAACATCCGAATATGGAACAGGGTCCCGCCCATTTGGAGATCTACCGTCGGGCCCTCAGACCTTAAACCCACAGCTAAAAGACACGAGGGTTCAACAAAAACCAAACTCTAATGTGACGGTTTTGGGTTTAGGGTTTAGGAGACCCTAAACCCTAAATCCTAAACCCTGAATCCTAAACCCTAAGTCCTAAACCTCAATATATGTCGTGGGTGGTTCTTGCCACAAGTTCTTGGCTTCTGCCGTCCGTTGCAGCGAGGCAGAGCTTTCAAGTCTTCGATCCTTCAAACCTTGCACCCTGCACCCTACTGTTGAGTTCCTTTTAAAGGGATTCATAAGGGTACTATAAGGGATCTATAGGGTTTAGGGTTTAGGGTTATGATGTAGAAATCCTCCACGACCCTGAGGACCCTAAACTATGGGAACCATGGTATATTCCTTATAACGGGTAATGCAGGATTTTCTCCATCAGCAGTATGAACCTATAAGGGAGTTTCCGAAAGCTACTGTAGGGGTACCTTGTTTTAGGGCCCTTACAATAAGGATCCTATTATTTAGGGTAGTATATTAGGGTCCCCTATTTTCGAAACTCCCATAAACGTGGGCGCTGTCCCCTTTCCAAACCTGCTTATGACTCTGACGTTGGACATTTCGCCACAACGGAACGAGTAATCTTTCTTTGAGGAACTGCTGCTTATAGTCTGCTATACTGTAGTAGAATATAATATCAGATAATTGATATAGTATGGTACGACATGTTGCAATCTTCGTCCACTTTGGTGGGTGTGACCTCTGCAGGGCGAGTCTGCATGTGGCCGCTCGCGGACTGTAGGGTAGAACAGGCCGCACGGTGGTGGGTAATATCCTGCACTGGCTTACGTACCTTAAGTATCGGAGTTATAGCATATACTTACCCGAATTTAACAGATATACCTTAGTACTACGGTTAATGGTATAAATCCTGCATTACCTTAAGGACCCTAAACTATGGGAATTATGGTATATTCCTTATTGTGGGTAATGCAGGATTTGTATCATCAACAGTAGTAATCAGGTATTTCGTGCATTACCAAGAGGTTTTGCGCTTGCAGCGCAGCACTTTCAATTCCCTAGTCTCCTCTGCCACGAGCTTCGGCAATCATGGGGGACGGGAGTGTCGACAGCATGTTGAAGCCGGAGCGGCATCACTGACTACAGCAAAGCACATAAAGCACATAATTAAGCTTCACAAACACAAATCCTACCAATGGAAAAATAGAACTACATACGACCGCTTGAACTTAGCCTGGGGACATGCGCCAGCTGCTGCATTTTACCAATGTTGCCCGTTTTAGCAGTCAATCTACTACTTCCCCCTACTGAAACTTGAAGCTTCTTTGTCCATCGGCTAGCAAGAGGCAGGACATGTCTAGCCCATGCAGTGGCCGGCTTGCCGAAGTCTTGGCTGTGGCGGTGCTGGCAGTCAATCTTGGCGTTCTCGCCACCAAGGAAACAGAGACAGGCCTGAGGTGGAAAACCGTAAACCCCAAACCCGACTGGAAGGTAAGAAGAGGGACGGGCTTGGTCTTGCTTTCTGGCTTGACCTTGTTGAGGTTCGGCGCCATCCATCTGCGAAGAGAGTCAGATCATGATGGACCCTGCCGAGATTGACCTCATGCAAGCTTTTCTACATCCTGAGGTGGTAATGTTTGAGTTTGGCTCAGGTGCGATTTGCCCAATGTGTCGCAGGTTCTGCTTGGGTCACTATGTTCACGTCCATCCTGACCCTAAACCTAAACCCTCAACCCTAGGCCCTCAACCTAACTCCGAAACGTTAAACCCTAGACCCGAAACCCTACTTAGAGGATCATGGGACTTAGTAACTGGGGATATAAGCAAAGCAACCATACGTATAAGCACTTATAACCCCAATTAAGGTACATTATATCCTTACTTACTAAGTCCCATGATCCTCAAAGTAGACCCTAAACCCTAAACCCGATAGATCCCTCTAAGGAACCCTATAGCTCCCTTTAAGGAGCCCTTGAAGAACCCTTACTAAGTCCCATGATCCTCCAAGTAAACCTTTCTGGCGACTTCGCAGTTACGGACCTTCTCACAAGGACTCCTAGGTTCCCTGCAGCCTGGAGTTTGGGGTATATTATTCCATACCTGGGCCCTAAAGAACCTACCATTTTTTAGGTTCCCTACTATGATTTCTTTATATAAGTCCTTAAAAGGTAGGTTACGTGGGGTTAAGGTAACTATCATGAAAGCATAGTATACTATAATCATAATATGGTCTTATACTAAAATCGTAATGGAGGTATTACACTATAGGGAACTCCAGAAAGTTGGAATATGGATTAATGGTAGGATCCCCTATAATTTACCTTGAAGAGGTTACGATAATGATATTCCAACTTTCTGGCTTCTACTGTAAGTGCAAGGTATTTACATTCCGCTCCTTCGAGGGTCCCAATGCTTGAGAAGCCTCAGCAAGCTTGACACCCCTGCCATCTGGTATGAGGGTTTCGGCTTTAGGGTTTAGGGTTTCGGCTTTTTAGGGTTTAGGGTTTAGGTAGGGATCGGAGTTCTTAGTCGTACTATCCCCTCGGGATCCTTGGTATCACTATATGCAAAAATACCCCCAAAAGCCTGCGCTAAGTCTTTTTGCCCCTAGCCCGAGCCCCAAACGCCAAAAGTTACACCAAAAAGCAAATCCTAAGCCATCAAAATAAAAGCTCCCTAAGCCCCAAAGGTGGATCCACGGTGGCTTTCTCCAGATTGGTGAAGAAGCTTTATGTCGCCGAGCATTCTCCTACATGGGCGGCTGAGGATGGGGTCTCAGGGCTTTTAGGTTGCGCGTTTAGGATGTCGGGTGTTTAGGGCTTCGGGTTTAGGGTTTGGGGTTTAGGGGTTTAGGGGTTTAGGGGTTTAGGGTTTAGGGATTAGGGTTTAGGGTTTGGGGTTTAGGGTGTACGGTTTGGTGTTTAAAGTGTAGGGCTTTGCGGGTTTAGGGTTTGGGGTCTAGGGGTGTTAAGTGCGGCCATCCCAGGTTGTGTTGTGCACACCATGCTAGCCTCCGGTACTTATTGCAGGACTTACCTAAACGGTGTTCGATGATGCAGCTTCACAAAACAGGAGAGAGGGTATGGACGGGAAGACAGCCACCCCAAACTAAACCCTCACCCTAAACCCTGCAACCCTAAACCCTGAAACCCTGAAAGCCTGAAACCCTGAAGCCATAAACCCTAAACCCTGAACCCAACACCCTAAATCAACATCAACTGGTGTGCTTCTGAAGGCTTTAGTCTCTCACCGGGATGGTTCGTATCAGCCGAAGATTTGGGGTTCTATGCGGTTCCGTAGCTTCAGAGTTATGGTGAACGGTGTTCTCAGTACATGCGCTTCGAGGTGCAACGACGCTGTGACGCCCGAGGCATCAGCAACGTGGAGATTCTTTCAGCCTTGCCCAACCGAACGGCCTTGGATGGCATCGGCGCTACCGACTGTGGCATCTTTCGACCGCAGATGGTCTTTGATGAGCAAGATCCATTGCGGAGAACCTATGGACCCAACTTGGATCCCAAGTGGCGAGATGCCTCTGCAAGCGAGCGGACAGCGGTCTTCAGTGATTACTTGAAGTTGATCCAAATGACCAATGAGTCGCGATTTGACGTGGTGCTGGTCGATGGCCGGGTACGTGGTGAGAGTGCGATTGCTGCCTTACCTTACGTAGACGAGAGGTCGGTAGTGATCATCCACGATTGGTATTTGGAAGAATGGGGTTATGAATTTCTTCCCGATGGTACTCAAGATCTGTCCACTCCTGTCAAGGTCGCTCCGCGCAATACACAGAAGAGCTATCGTCAAGTTCTGGATTTGTATGAGATTATATGCAGAGTCTCTCCACAGTCACACCCCTCGGGTTGCAGTCGAGCAGGAATGGTGGTCTTGCGCAAGAAGTTGAAACCATCAGCAACAATATAAGGGCCCAATGGTTTTGTTGCAAGACATGTAAAGTGCAGGAGAAGGCGTGTGTCGAATGTCTTGCTTCGGGCTGAGACTGTCCACAAGGGAGCGGTTTCACAAAGCCTCATATTCAGCTTCCTTTGTGGTTCCACAAAGCCGCACGTCCGTTCGAAAGGCACCAGTTGGGTCCAAAGACCTTGGCCCTTGGTTTCGGAATGGGCATTCCAGTATCCATAGTACTTGGGAGTTTCCGAAAATAGGGGACCCTAGTATGGCACCCTCAATAGTAGGCCCTTATTATCAGCACCCCAAAGTAAGTCACCCCTAATTGTCGGAAACTCTAAACCCTAAACCCTTTAAAAGAACCCTTAGAAATCCCTTAAAAAGATCCCTTATAATAGTAACCCTTTAAAAGGAACCCTAAGGAACCTCAAAATCACTTCAACTCCGGATTGAGGATCCGCGATTTCTTTCGCTGGCGCCTCAGTCAGTCGTGGCTGCAGGAGCCGGAAAAAGCGGGTTTGGTCTTTGCAGGGTGTTTCGGCGGTTCAGGGTTTGGTATCTAGAGGTTAGGGTTTGGTATGTAGAGGTTTAGGGTTCGGTATCTAGAGGTTTAGGGTTCGGTATCTAGAGGTTAGGGTTTGGAGGATTGAAGCTGAACCGGCTGTGGAGCCATTACATGAGCGGCGTGTGCGATCTCGTCGTCTTTGAGGAGACTAAGTTCTGCGCGTGGATGCCCATTGGACCCTATACCCTACCTTAAGCCTGAATAGCCTACCTTTTTAGGGTTCCTTATTAAGAGTATATAAGTCCTTAAAAAGGTAGGTTTTTCCGGGTTAAGGTAAAACCTGGACAGCAGCAGCAGTCAGAGAAATCGCTTCAGGCCAAGATGCAGGCCCAGGCCAGCATTTTGATTTGTAAGGGTTTATATGGTTTAGGGTTTAAGGTTTAGGGTTTACGGTGTAAGGTTTCGGGTTTAAGGTTTAGGTTTTAAGGTTTAGGGTTTAGGGGCAGCCCTTCAAATTGATTAGTCATACTAGGCCGTTGTTGTAGGCCCTTTTTCTGGTTGTCATGGTTTGCCCCGGTTGCTTAATCATAGAACCTTGGACATACCAGGAACACACTTCTGTTGATGGACAAAATCCTGCATTACCCATTACAAGGAATATACCATAATTTCCCATAGTTTAGAGTCCTTAGGGTCATGCAGGATTTTGTCCATCAGCAGTTCCTCCATCGCCTCTTTAGCCGTGTTGTCAGCCTCTTAGTCAGCCTCAGGCCTCCTTCGGATCACTCAAAGAGTAACAACAAGCTCGTTCAGCCCTTACTGAACTCATACCACGAGTTGCAATAGCCGTAGGAGGAGAACAGAAGTTAGAGCTGAAGCCACACTCCATTGCAAGACTCATGATGGCACGACTGTTGATGAACAAAATCCTGCATGATCTTAAGGACCCTAAACTATGGGAACTATGGTATATTCCTTATAACGGGTAATGCAGGATTTTGTCCATCAACAGGATTTCTTGGGTCTGGAGCCGTGAACACTTGCGCTAAAGAGGTGACCGTACTTTTTATGCATGGAGCTTTCTGCAGGAAATTCGTTTAACAGAGTGCATTTGGGAAACCGCCTATAACGCAGAGACCAAAATCCTGCCCTCACAGCGGCATTCGATGCCCTTATTCATGTCCGATGCTTTGTTGCAGTCTTGCTGTTACCCTATGGAGTTCGCATTCATTTCAGCAGCTTTCCCTCGGAAGCCTTTCCGTTTTAACGGATGGTGGAATCGGCCCCTAACTTCCGATTTGCACGTCTTCGGCCCCCGCGCAGTGGCTGCTGAGGCTCCAGCCCACCTCAATCGAAGGGTAGAGAGGGGTGATATGTCAGTTTTCCTGAGAGTACTTCTGTTGGCATGGCTCGGATGCGCAGGTAAGGCGGACAACGGCTCCACCACTGAGGTTTGTGAAAGCTGTGAAAACGTGTTGCTTCAAACTGCTCCAAAGCAGCGCTCGGCGCAGCACTCGCTCAAACCTGGCATGGGCAGTGCAGATCTTGTTGCAAACGGTGGAAACATGCGAATGGCGGGCAACCACCCGCCTGTACCGCAGGACGAAGAGGTGCATCAGCTTGGGCATGCAGTTGAGATGTTTGTCCTCATGAAGAGACCTGCACATGGCAGCGTGCATGTTCCGAGTGTCAAGATACCTCGCATTCTCACGCAGATGAGCAAGGACTGTGTTGTGTTCGTGTACATTGTGGTCGCTATGATTTGCCCGCTTCTGCTTGCTTGGTGTCCAAAGCACCCCCAAGATTCTCAAACTATGCAGGGTTGTCCAAAGAACTGGCTGCTTTGTGTGGGATGTGTCTATGCTTGCATCTATGTCAGCGCAGACCATTACGTGCCCAACTTGCCGCAGATGGAGGCAGATCTTGCAGGCTCGTCGGCGTTGATGTGTGGCACGGTTCAACTGAACCTTGTGGTGAAGTCCATTCTTGGGCTTTTGGTTGCAGGTTTGTCTGACCGCATTGGCAGACGGCCGGTTGTTTTGCCATGTCTTGCGTTGCTGAGTCTGGCTAGCTTGTGCTGCGCGTGCGCTGGGCGGATCGAGTGGTTCTTCGCTGCTCACATTCTGCAAGGCATTGGGGAATCAGTCGAGCCGGTGTTGTTTGCTACTAGTATGGCTCGAGATTACTTCTCCAACCCTAAGGAGCGCTTCAGTTTCGTGGTGGCTATGGAAATGATGGCCATCATTGGAACCGCTGTTGCCCCTTTGTACGGAGGACTATGTGCAGCCTACATCAACTGGCGCCTCTCGTTCCTTGGCATGGCCGTTGTCTGGGGGCTGCTGGCGGCATATGCCTTCTGGGCCATGGTGGAATCGCGCCCCGAGGGCAACAAGGAGAGCTATCTGAACAACGCGGCACGCATCTTGGATCCACAACTTCTTTGTCTCCTGCTCACTGAGAGTTGGATTTTGGGGCAGTATTTCATGTTCAACACGAACGTCAGCTATTTGATGGAAGTAAGCTTCGGCAGATCTGCCATGGCAACCTCTACCGTCATGCTCATATTTGGGGTTGTGTGTGGACTTGGTGGCATGTTGATCCAGCGAGTGCAGCTGGGCATCCTCCGTTTGAGCCAAGTTACTTTGTTCCTTCTGGCGCTCTTTGGAATCATCTCGATGGCTCTGGGACTGTACCTCTCGGAGTATTTATGGTGCTACCTGGTTGTCTCCTTTCTGCAGGCGAGCGTGCTAATGATGGCCTGGACTTGCGTGAGTGTCTTGTTTATGCAAGAACTGGAGGACTGTGCTGGCATGGCGTCATCTTTCGAGACCATAGCGGAGAGCGTTCCCCCTGCCCTTCTCTCCGCAATTGCCACGAAGTCTATGATTGAGGTGGGTAATTGCCAAAATTGGGGTCTCTTTTTGGGTCCCTATTTTAATACGGCACCTGATAACCCCAAAAGGGAGCACAATTTTGACAACTACCCATGTAAAATCTTACCCAACCCTATGCCTTCCACCCTAACCCCGAAATCCTAAACCCCAAACCTGGGGACTTAATGCTGTAGTTTTTTTTTTTTTTTTTTTTGCCAGGTGGGGCCCAAGGGGCTGACGATGTGGCAGGCAGGTACTTGCATTGCAGGCGGGATCGTATTCTGGCTGGGCTTTGGTCGGAACCCCCCCACATGGGCTCTGGATCTGGACAAAGAGGCAGACCGACATGAGCAATGAGAAATGAGCAATACCTGGCTTTGGAGTACCATACTTGAATACTTTTCGGGGTACCTGTTCCTTAAGGGAACCATTATAAGATAAAAGTTTATACTTTCTTCTCCCTGGTTACTTCAACGTCCAGAATACGCTGCATTATAGTAGAAAGTATCCCGCAACCCAACTCTAAATACTAAGGCCCCTCATAGCAAGGGTTGTTGGGGGATGTTTGGGTGGAACCCCTGAGTTGGGGGTATCGGACCCAGAGACTCCACTATCCATTAAATAAAGGATATACCTTAGCTCATAATTTGGGTACGGCCCCACTCATAATAGTTGAATAATATTCATAATATAGATATATTAGGACCTTAATAGCAGCCCTTTAGTAGACTCTTACTGTAGGGGGGCAGTACCTAACTCATAATGGAGTCTCTGGGCATTCCAGTATCCATAGTGCTTCACCTCCAGATCCAGGGTCCACGATATTTTTCGCTGGCGGGGTTCGGTATCTAGAGGTTAGGGTTTGGAGGATTGAAGCTGAATCTGCTGTGGAGCCGTTACATGAGCGGCATGTGCGATCTCGTCGCCTTTGAGGACTAGGTTCTGCTCATGGATGCCCATAAAGCATACAGCGAACCCCAAACCCTTGAACCGTCAAGCCTCAAGCCTGCACATGAAACGAAACCCGAAGAGCAAGAAGCTTCTACAGTTCGGAGTTCGGGACGTATAGGTGAGGCTTGGGGGGGAGGGGTTATGTGACAGCCCTAGTTGACCCTAAACCCTAAAGCCCGAACCCTAGTTGACCTTCCGAACCCTAAAACCTAAACCCCTAAACCCTAAACCCTAAACCCTAAGCCCTAAGCCCTAAATCCTAAGCAAACCCTAAACCCGAGGTCATGATCACCGAACAAGGGAAACTTAGTCCAAGGGCCAACCATCGCAGCATGGCGCCCGAGCCCGCTGACACGAGGTGGGCCACCGTATCGCCTCAAGAATAAGAAGCATGAGTTGAACCCTAGACCTTAAACTCAACATCCGAGATCCTAAGCCTAAAACCCTAAGGTAAAAGCCAGAAAGTTGGAATATGATTATCCTAACCCTTCTATGGTAAATTATAGGGTATCCTGCCAAGAAACCATATTCCAACTTTCTGAAGTTCCCTGTAAAGCCTGAGTCCAAAACGAACTGCAAGTCATAGTCTGAAGGGCCCTAAACCCTAAACCCTAAACCCTAAACCCTAAACCCTAATTGAACGTTTCGATTGTCGGAGTCGCAGGGTTGGCATGCCAGAGCTCGGGACACTTTCCCAAACCCAAAGGAAGGCCCTCTTGGAACATGCAGTGGGCGGCTATAGATGGGGGCATGAAGGCACACGTTCAGCTCAGTTCCGTCCAAATGTTCTAACTCTGAATGAATGTCTATAGTGTGCGAGGATAGTTTTGCAGTACGGCCCTAAACCCTGAACCGTTGCTTGGCAAAGCAACGTCTGTTTCACCGCAAGCCAGGCCCAGCGTCTTCGCTGGCGCATGCAATGACCTCAAACTCCTGGACTCTGAAATTCAAAGCCCAAACCCTAAACCCTAAACCCTAACCCCTAAACCCTAAACCCTAAACCCGAACCCTAACCCCTAACCCCTAACCCCTAACCCCTAACCCCGAAACTCTTTCAAGGTTTCAGCCCGCAGCTCTGAAACCAGAAACCCGGAACCCGAAACACGGAGCCCAGCCCCTGCGTTAGGGGTTAGGGTTTAGGGTTTAGGGTTTAGGGTTTAGGGGTTAGGGTTCGGGTTTAGGGTTTAGGGTTTTGGCTTTGAATTTCACCGAGCAGAATAGCAAACTCCGTGTTAGGGCTTTGGATTTAGGAGTTTATATATGGCCGAACCCTTGTTTAAGGGTTCCTCCAAGGGTTCCCTTAAGGGTGCCTTGAAGGGCTCTTTTTTGGGTTTCGGGTTTTGGGTTTAGGGTTTTGGGTTTAGGGTTTAGGGTTTAGGGTTTAGGGGTTTAGGGTTTAGGGTTTAGGGTTTTGGGTTTAGGGTTTATGAGTGAACCTGAAGGCAATCGAGCACTAGCTGCGAGCTTCAGGAAGTAAATCCTTATTGTCCGCAATGCCAGGTAGACGTTACCCCCTACTTGAGGGAGCATGGGACTGGAGTGACTAGGGCTATCCATCTATATATATATATATTATAAATATGTATATAGATATATATATATATATAGATAGATAGATAGATAGATAGATAGATATATATATATATATATATATGTATACGGGAACTTATGATCCTAATTCAGGTACTAGTGCCCTTACTTACTAAGCCCCATGATCCTCCAAGTAAGCCCAGCCCCTAGAATCTAAACCCTAAACCTCAAACCCGAAGCCCTCAGATGGCTTTTTTCGAAGAAGGTCTGTGGTGGAAAGCTTCGTCGCGGACCGAGTTTGGGAGTTTTTCGCATTGGGAGCTCTGGGTGTGGCAGAGATCAACAGAGCCCTAAACCCTAACCCAAACCCTAAATCCTAAGCCCTGAACCCGAAACCCTACACCCTAAACCCTAAGGTTTAGGGTTTTAGGGTTCGAGGTCTAGGATTTAGGGTTCAAGGTCAGACTTTAGGGTTTAGGGTTTCTGCGTTACCCTAAGGGTCCACGTATCCCCCTGAAAAGGTCCGGAATCTCCCAGGGAGAGCCCTTGGGTCTCTTTTGGGTCTCAGAAATCCTATGTTTCGAGGCTGCCAAAAGTGTTAGGACCTTTGGGTAGGGTCTAAGCTGGGGGGGGGTTCGGCTGTGGGGCTTTAGGTCTGCGCGGTGGGGGTTATTCTTTGTGCTTTTTGTAGGGTCAAGACTTCAGGCTTTGTTTAGGCTGTGGAGTTTAAGGTTGCCGTCTAGGTTTAGGCTTTGTCGCTCAGGCTTCGGGGTTCAGGGTTCTTTTGCAGGCGTGTCATTGAATATCTATATTGCAGAAACCCTCGAAATCGACCTCTATAGTTATATCACACAAACTCTATTGCAAAGTACTTCCCTTGATCTCTAAGCTGAATTACTCTGCGCCCCAAACCTGATTTCTTAAGTTTTACACAAGCTCTTGTTGAAGAGCCTGATTTAAACTAGTAGTCTAAAGATAGATAGTACATGAGATTCTTTCCGTGCTGTGGTAGGCTGAGTAGTGAAGTGAAACTGATTAGCAGTTATGACATGAGATGAATCATAGGGATCCTTTGGGGGGTAGGGCGCCTTATTGCCCCATAATAAGGACCTAAGAAGGCCCATTTAAGGAAGTATAGTCCCCTGCCCCCCTACCGCCCTAAACCCTAAACCCTAAACCCTAAACCCGAAACCCTAAACCCTAAACTCTAAACCCTAAACCCTAAACCCTAAACCCCTAAACCCCTAAACCCTAAACCCTAAACCCTAAACCCTAAACCCTAAACCCTAAACCGGTCCCTGAAGCCTTCCAGCTGCTAACCCGAAACCCAAATCCCAGCAATTTCGAACTCTGATTAGCATCTCGCCGTGCCTTCTTTTGGGGTCCTTATAATAAGGATCCTACTATTTCAGGGTGCTATATTGGGGTCGCTTATTTTCGGCAACTCCCATATGATTCAGATTCCTAAGGGCCAGGCTCTGCAAGAAACGTGGTCCATCAGCTACCCAGAGAGCCCAAGATTCTTTTAAGGAATACTCTTTCCATCATGCTCATAATCTCAGGCGCATTCCCCAATCAGGGGGTATTGGGTTCTTTGGGTAGGGATGCGCAGTGTGATACCATTTGACGTTTCGGTTGGAATGGCGGTTTTGCACGACTCAGTTTTCGGCTGGCTTTTCGACTTCGGTCTATGGGCGAAGGACGCGAAATACAGACCCTAAGCCCTAAACCCCAGACCCTAAACCCTAAACCCTAAAGCGTGGCTCTTCAGGGTTTAGGGCAAAGTTAGCCCGACAAAGCTTGAACCTCAGCAGCTCAAGCCTAAATTGAACGGTCAACAGGCTGCTAGCTCCGGGCTCAGATGAAACAAGACGGCGACGCCAAAACAAGTTACGGCCTAGACATTAGAGGTTCGTACAGGGTTTCGGCGTGGGTCAGAACCTTGAAGGGCTTGGATCTTGCAATCTGCGCAAGCGCTGGAGCCTGAACGAGCCATAGAGCTTGAATCCTTAACACCCAGTCCCCGGTCCTGTGTGCGTATGAAGGCGCCCAATGCATAGTCCAAAATGAACGTTTCCGAAAACTGGGGGGATACCTTATGTTGGAGTGCTTATAATCAGAATCCTTCTATTTAAGGTACTTTATTAGGGTCCCCTGTTTTCGGAAACTCCCAAATAGTAGGGGTTTCCCGCTATGGAAAAAACGCCTCGCTATGAACCGAATGTTTTGAGCCTAAGAACTCTATAGTGCTATGGCGTAAAGTTCCTTAGGTTTAGGGTTTAGGGTTTATTATCAATCCAGCGCAACCTACTCCCGAAAACACTGCTCTAATGCACCATGATCCAAAATACAGCACCCAAACCCAAAACCCTGAACCCCAAATGACGCCCTGTTGCCGCCCAGTTGAATGTCACTGCCGGCTCTGACTTGCCAGGCACAGACCCCGAGCTTTGTAGACCTTCTCGGGCTTCGGTTGCGGGTTTAGGACATCGGGTTTAGGATTTATGCATACGGATTCCAAAGAAGAATTGTTTAGGATATAGGGTTAAGCATCTTGCTTCTACGGTTGATGCCCCTAGGGACGAAGTTCCGGAGCTGGTGTGGATTGTGAGAGTTGCGAATCGCACTCCCGGAAGTTTCGACTGTCTGGGCAATGTAGGAACCTGATTAAGAAACCTTGGGCCTTTATCAGGGTTCCCTATATGAGCCCTATCATTTTTGGGGGTTATAGGCCCAGGGTTTCTTAATCAGGTTGTTACATTCGTCTGAAAACTGTTGAACCTGGCTGAGGCGGTTTGGGAAGCATTCGGAACCCTAAACACGAACCCTAAACCCTAACCCCCCAAAACCCTAAGCCCTAAGCCTTAAACCCCTAA